AGTTGATCTAATTTTTCCATTTCTCACACCAACAGACCTTATTAAGTTATCCATTTTAATTCAATCCTACATACCAAATGAGCCTCGTCTTGAAAACCTAAAAGCGTATTACTTTTAAGGCTTTGGGTGGTTCGCTATAGTCTTACTCATCAAGATGGATCATTGTGGGCCGGTGTCGGTCGTCCCTCATAATTAATGGATTAATTGTCTGATGATTATAATGTAATGTGATTGGTTTGTTTCTAGCATGTGGGTGGCTCTTTGTCATCCCCCGGAGTTTTTTTCCCAAGTGGCTTACCCGGGGCGAGATTTTTTCTGGGCCACTTTTTTAACCATGCTCTTTGTAATAGTTCATTTGGTCTGATATGAAAAAGAGCCATTTTTCAAATGTGGTCCAAAGAAAATGAATGTCCACGCGGTTGAATGTTTTGCGGTTTTATTACTAAAATGTTCAATAAGATGGTGAGTTGGAGTGAATGGGCAAATTCCGAAATTTTTACATGCTGTGAGGGCATAGTGGGTAAAATTTATGAGTTACTGATGACTTTTCTTCGGCAACTAAACTATTTCGTCCTCAAGAGAATGAATGTCCACTTAAAATACTTTAAATTGAAGGTTGAAGTTGAATTGGTCATAAAAGAAATTTGTACTACTCGCCACAAAAATGGTAGGATTATGATGAATAAAGCTCTTTTGTGACGTATTCATCTTCTACCTTCAACTTAGACATTTAGAAGTTGAGTCCACATCATTTATTCAATCAACATAGAATTCTAGTGAGTTTTTCCGCCCAATCCAATCCTCAACATTGAAATGAGATCTTAATTAAGAACTTCTCTCACAAAAGCATAAAAAAATTTGTTAGGCTAATATATCAATACTTCTAGTGGATATGAGTTTGTTCAAATTGTGTGAATACTTTAAATATCGAGAGATGCTCGATGTAAAATTAACTAATGAATGCCACTGTGAACACGAAAATTTCCTGAAAGGAAAGAGACAAGAACAACATGCACAAAATAATATTTGTATTTGATGATTTTGGGTTACAATCTCTCTCAAATTTGATCCTCTGATTCGATCTCCGTAAGGTGTTGATTTGTGGATGTGCGATTGATCCAAAGGGCCGTTGAGCTTGATCTAAGGATGAACGTTCTTCAAGGGCCGTGGGCTTGATCTTTGAAGGTGGATTTGAGCGGATCTTCAAGGAGCCGTTGGGGCTTGATCTTGAGGATGAGTGTTTCTTTAAGAGCCGTTGAGGCTTGATCTTGAATAACGGTGATGAACGGATCTTCAAGGGCTTTTGGGCTTGATCTTGAAGAACAGTGACGAACGGATCTTTAAGGGCTTTTGGGCTTGATCTTCAAGAACGGTTGGATGTATGGATTTGTCGACGTTGTTGATCCAAAGGGCCATTGGGGCTTGATCTTAGGATGAACGGATGATGAACGATGAACACTTTCTTCAAGGGCCGTCGGGGCTTGATCTTGAATTGGTGGAAGTTCTTCAAGGGCCTTTGGGGCTTGATCTTGAATTGGTGGATGATTGTTGATCCAAAGGGCCGTTGGGGCTTGATCTTAGGATGAACGATGAACGAAGAACGAAGAACGAAGAGGGCTTTTTTGATTATTCGGGAACCTGGATGCTTGAGAGCTTCGGAGTTTCAGAGCTTCAAGAATTTTGCCTAATGATTTTGCCCCCCCCCAAATGAATGAAATTGGCTTCTATTTATAGAATTTTCCAAGGCCTAATTTTGAATATAATATTCCAGATGAAATAAGTGGTTTTTGCCGGGTGTTGACACGTGTCCTGTTTGATGACTTTTCCGACTCATTTCAATTTTTCGTCGAGTCACACGCTACGTGTAAAATTTATGTAATACATGAGCGTTGAAACTTTGATTTATCGGTCAACATTTATTTACCAAAATTTCGATGTTTACAGCCACCTTAAAAAATCATCATGCATTTCTTAAAGTGAAACTTTTACTGATAACTTTATAGAAGATGAGATACATGATGGTGCTTTTGTTTTGCAACTTTCTTTTTCCTTTCAAACTCAAATTTTCTTACATGCAATTCGTCTTGATTTTTGGAAAGTGTTAGTAGCAACTCCTTGCTTAATAAGTACTCAGAGCCCTAGTGCATGCAGTACTCAAGGTTAATGGGAGTTGAAGGACTGTGATTAGAGTGTACATATATATTCCAATTCCAAACAAGATATGGTCTTAGACCGTATGCCATAAGTAAAGGATAAGATAAAAATGATATTTTCATGTATGATGCGTATTTTCCGAGTCCAATGTATTGGAGGCTTGGAATAGCGTATGAATAATTGGGTGGATATGAACCTCGAGCTGGCATATATATAATTTGGACAATCATTTATATTATGAACTCAAAGCTAGACTTCCATTTCTAATGAGTATCTCTGGAACAGAAAAAAATGTAATTGAGTGAAATTTAAATGAAATTTTTCAACAAGTAATTGTTGTTGTATATGTGGAGACATAATAGTAAAAATTCTCCGTCTTTTGTTTTGATGAAATTGTACCACAAAATAATTAAACAAGTGGGAAGGGGAGGGAGAGGGTTGGACGATCAATTTTTTATGCCTAAGTCGAGGGACAGAGAGATTTACGGTTGAATTGCGTAGCATTCATTTACTTGAGATGTGTACACTGAGGGGTATGAGATTGTCATGTCATGTGTTGACGTCTAGTTGGCTAAAGAGTATCATTCGTCGGATGCACTAAAGAATTATCCTAAATATATTATTAAATTAATAATATCTTAGAATTATCCCGTAGAGTTCTTGATTGGATTGGATTGTTGTTCCTTGCTTGAAGGAAGTTGTCTTCAATAAGGAAAGCTTAAAGATAGAAATTAGTTATTAATTTTACCTTTAATTTTCTTGCCTTATCTTTTTACTTTGAGCATAGAAGTTTAGAGAAGTTGTAGTAAGCAGCTCAGATCTTCTTAGTGGTTAACTTGGCGTGAAACGTATGTGGGCCTCACTAATTTCTTGGTGGTTAAAATTTTCTAATTAGTTTTTAAAATAACTTTCATACTCTAAACTCGAATTCCACTAAGAGTTTCGTAACTTAATTAAACTTCCCTTCCCCCTGCTTGAACTCAATTTGGTAGCAATGATGACAGGAAAATGGGGAAGCAGACGATGAGACCAGAGATATCGTGAGGAAAGAAAGAGATAAAATATAGACTAATAATTTTCTATTTTTCCTGTCAAAATCTGAATTGGTGGGATCCAATTATAACCTGTTATTACCTTCTCTTAATTTTTCGCAACTTGAAATTTTAATTGGAAAACACTCGTGGGTATAAAATATCGATGATATTAGAAATATCGGTAGTCTAAAAACAAGGAAATTTCGATGGAAATATCGGGATATTATCGATATTGATAAAAATTGAATAAAAACCACCGAAATTGTAAGAAAAACTTGGAAATTTTTATTGAAACTTTGCAGGATGTTTATTTAGTCAATTATCTATTAGTTTATCACAAAAAATTGGAAGGAAATGCATTGCATGATAGATATAACTGATTTAAGTTGATTATATAGCGAGGTGACAAACATTGTAAGTGTAGAAAATATGTAGTAATTAATGAAAGAAATTTAAATACACCATAATCATTATATATAATGAATTAGTACAATAGTTTACACTTTATACATTGCATGGTAAAATACATGAGTGACTTAGTAAGATCTAAAATATCGATGATATTGGAAATATCGGTAGTCTAAAAAAATATCGGTAGTTCAAAAACACGAAAATTTTGATGAAAATATGAAGATATTATGGATATTTTAAATCATGTAACTAACACTACTCGGTGGATGTGGTACTCTAAATATTATTTTTGTGAAGAACCTGATCGCTGATCCGTACCAAACCAATGTACCCCCACATTCTCTGACAAGTTACTCAATTTTAACATGTTTTTAGGAAAAGGATTATCGCCAGATTTCTTTTCTGAAAATCTTAAGGATTTCGTGATCGTAATCGTTCATCGTACATCGTGGGTCAGAAATTATTTTAAAATTTAAAATTTAAAATTAAATATAAATAGTATTTAACGAAAACTGACTGTACGATAAATAATGAACGATTATGATTACGAAATCCCTAGAATCTCTAAGAAAATGATTCGGGAAAGGATCCTTTGGGTACTTCATTTTTAAGCTAATAGACGCTCCTGAATGTGATTTGACTCAAGATTTTGTATTCCACGTAGCTAAGCTACCTGCTGCTTCAAGCCATGCACAGATCTCAATTTTTTCCTACATGGAGAGGGATATTACATACGTTTATTTTTAGAGAACTTTAACGAAAAGCTATCGGTACTGTTCATTTTAACAAAAAATCATATTTTTACACTAAAAAGTCAATTATGATACTATTCACTGTACTATTTATTTTGTCTTTATCATTAAAACTCAAAGTTTTTAAGTCATTTTCATTAATTTTCCTTTATTTTTAACTACGTCATTTGGAACTCTATTTAAATCTTACTTTGCATACTGTAACTCAAAAGTCACCAATTTATTTCCTAAAACTTGAAATTCGTTTCACTTTGATTTTTGGACTCTTTCTTCTGTCAGAAACTTATAGGTCGCCTTTCAAAACATATGTGGAATCTAACACCCAATAAGACTATGTCACATGTGCAATAAATTTGATTATAAATTTCCATTATGCGTTAACATTCAACAATCAGAGAATGCTAATTTTAAAAGAAATTGAAGAGATGAAAAAAATAAAAAAGAATTTGATTAGCCTGGCGCACCCAAATCAAACACACATAAAAAATTAACAGATCTCAGCAATGTGGAGCAAATTTTGAGTTTTATAGAGACGACTTTCAAGTTTTAAGAGGCAAAATAGGATCAAAATCGAGTTATAGAGGCAAAGTGAAGGGAACTTTGAGTTTCAAAGAATAATGTGGTGACTTTTGAGTTATAAGAAGTAAAGTGAGATTAAAAGAGGCATAGTTAAAAATAAGCCTATTTTTAAGGCAAACAGTCGCCTTATAGCTGTCCTTAATTCCTTAAAAACAGTAGTAATTGTCTCACAGGGAACATAACAATCTACCTCTGTGAGTAAAATGGATCTCAAACTTTACAATGTAACCAAACCCATTTTATGTTTAATGGGTTTCAAGTTAGGGTCAACAATCAAACATCTAAAAAGGGTTCAAAACAATCCTCCCAACCCCCAAAAAATAAAAAATAAAAAAACCCCACAAATTAAGGTCAAGATTGATGTTAAAAAAAAGAGAGAAGCTATGACTATCTAGCTAGCTAAGCTTCATCTTGGTCATCTCTTCTCCATGAAAATCCCACACACAAATCTCTAGACCTTGAAAATATCCAATGATATCATTTGAGCATCGACGTTAGGGATCGAAAAACTTCTTCTTCGCAGGGGATGGTGAGGCCCATGTCGTGATCGAAGCCAAATTCCTCTTCGGCTTGGCGGAGGAGGCATTGGAACTGAGGATGTGTCAAGAACGAGATGGGAACAATGTACCTTGTTCTGTTCTCGCCAACGTAAACTGGGAAATGGCCTTTTGGGACATCAATGGGAAGACCATCTTCGTCGTAGCCATGTTTCTTTCCCAAGCTCGAGCATCTTTTCAGGATTTGCTTGAGCACTGCGGTTTGAGCCAGTTTGTTTGGTTTTCTGATGCCCATTTCCTTTTTCTTTGCTTTGTGTTTTTGGTTTCTGGTGTTTGTTTTGGGGTAAAGGAAATGGGGAAGGAAGGATAAGAGAGGTGTTGGTGGTGAAGTGAGTGAAGGGTGATAGGGGTATTTATGGAGGAGAGGGTTTGAGAGTGTTGTGTGTGTGTGTGTGTGTGAGAGAGAGAGAGAGAGAGAGAGAGAGAGAGAGAGAGAGAGGTCATGTGGAAGTGTGGGGAGGGAAGGACAGACCACGGGTGTGTTTGGGGTATGTGTGTGTGTGTGTATGTGTGCAAGGACATGGTGGGAGCCAAACCCATTGGGTTTACTCTTGCATGTTGGCCCTCCATATGACAACATGGACCCTCTCTCTCTTTCTTCATGGAAAAATTTCATTTTTTGGATGAAGGTATCTAAATTTGAAAGTTTGGTTTCGAAAGCTCTATACTTTATTGACTGACCAAATCATTTCTTAGTTAATGACTTTCCACAAAAAGATGCCATTCTCATTTTGTTATAAGCAGTTTTGTTATAATACTTTAATAATAAAAACTAATACAAATATTGAAGAGGACATTCTGGATTAAACGCAAGAGATCCTCTATCAAAAGAGACTTCAACAAAACACAAAAGACCAACATGACCAAACTAGTTTTCATTGTATTGATGGATTTGAGAGTGAGGCGTGCCTTAAAATAATTAAGGGAATTGCATCCAAATCTTGAAATCATCCACACCCAAACTCAAGAGACTGGGACGACACTTTAAAAGTCAAAGTAACTCAATTTCTAATGGAAATGTTAAACACGATTTGACACCTAAAAAATTTATGCACAAAAGTTTAAATATAACGAACATGAGGACACTCTTTGACAACGAGCAATATCAACTCCAAAGAGAAACTGACAAGGAACCAACTAGTGTCCATAGCACCATGAATTTTGTGCTCAACATTATCAAAATACTCACATATAGCCTCACCAATAAAACACTTACAAACGAAAAGTACTAAAATAAAAAATAAATCTGCAACAATTCATGAGAAGAGCAAGGAAGAAAGCTAAAGAAAGACTGCTATGAATTTTTTTAGATCTAAGATTTTGGTAAATGAATGAGACACCGGCTATTGGAGAGTTCCAGTGACAAATTTTCTAAATACTACATAATAGGAATTTACAAATGCCATGTAAATTTTCCAGGAAGGTTTAAAGCTAGAAAATTTACCAGGTAATTCATTTTTTCCTCATACTTTTTCTGTTTTTATAGTCTTTAAATTGAATAAATAAATAAATAAATAATGGACAAATGAAAAAGAGAACTTAACTCCTTCCCATTGCCCTCGTAATTGGGTGATTCATTCTCCCTACCCTAATCAGTGGGGCTATTCTGTGGGCCCAACTCCCTAGACTCAACAATGGGCCATTCTCGCCCGCCTCTGTGCCTGAGGCGATATGACGTCACATGACAAAAAAAATTTGCAGGTTAGGGTGCAGAATTAGATGATGGTCGAGGGAGGGAGCGGTCCTCTCGGGGACGATCCACTTGGCCTTGATGTGTTGCCGCCGAAGTGGAGGTAGACTTTGACGGCTTTCCGGCTTTGCACGGCGGAGGTAGCGAAAGAGGAGGAAGGAGAGCCGTACTTGAGTTGAAGGGCTTTCAGCCTGGCACCGACGTCGTCAACGGTGAAGTCTTGGGTTTTGTCTTAGTAGGGTGGAATTGCTCTAAAAAGAGATACGTAAATGTAAGAATCCACTACTGGCAAAGCAATTTACTACAATTTTACATCCTTTTCTCTTTACCTACAATCACGGACCGATAATTAGGGTACTATACAGTACATTCATGTGGACGTGGATGGTTTGGCCTTTTCTGATTGTTCGGCAACCTGGTCTGGTGATTCCGTGTACTGCTTCTACCTCACAGATAAAACAACTCTCTCTCTCTCACTCCCACACACACACACATAGCACATAGCAAACTAACATTTTTATAGAAACCCAGAAACCCATGTGTATTTCACTGCTACTTATGCATATTTCCACCATACTTTTGTGCTCACGCTTCCGGAGGGAGCTGGTACCAAAAATCAATCAAAATCATACATCAAACATTTTCTTACTTTCATGATTACTTTATTTAGCAATAATCTCAGTTCGAGTACGTAACATTTTTGCACGATTGTTTAATTAAACTCAACCCATATACGTATATGACAGTGTAGTGGTGGTGATTTTGACACTAGCATGAAATTGATACGATGAGAATCTATTAATACTATTCAAGTGGATACCTATATGTATTTGGTTATCACATATATCAAGTAAACTCCATGCATGTATATATAATTTCCTGTCCTACGCATCCTGAACGGAGATGTCTCTCTCGCAAATCACAATTCAGCACCCTCTTCTAAACAGGAAGAAAGTGTTGACGAAAACAAACAAGGTTGGAAGCGGTGATCAACATTGATTGTAACTGAAAAGAAAGATGCATTCCTTTTTGTTAAAGTTATAGAACATTATATATTTTTTAGGAAAACTAATGAAAATGGTTTGAAAACTTTGAGTTTTAATGATAAGGACAAAATAAAGGGTAAAGTGAATAGTACCAGGATTGACTTTTTAGTGTAAAAATGTGGTTTTTCGTTAAAGTTCTCATATTTTTTTAATTATGTTTCCAATGTAAACAAACTTATGAAGTTGTACACGCCATCTTATTTTATCTATGGTGAAATATTCATTCTAAAACATCTTCTCGGATATAGACTCTTGTCTATCAATATAGGCGTTTGCTCATGATTCTTGTTGCGTGGCACTCTTGGCCCGCTTATTATTAGCTTATACACCCAATTATTAGCTTATGAACTCAATACATGGAGTTATATGACACTGTTCTAAAAATCTCTGCCTACCGCCACCTAGGCCCGGCCTAGGCGCCTAGCCACCGTCCCGAATAATTCCTAGGAGTTTGAAAATTAAGAAATGACGCCTAAACTTGCTTAGACGCCCACCCAGACAGCCTAGAAGCCTACCTAGGCACCTGTCTAGGTTGCTAGTCTTTAGATAGAAAATAGATAACTTTCATTTGACATTTTTTTTCAATAAGTTGTAAGAAACTTGTTGAATACTAAGATGAACACATGTACATTATATGCTTTTTTTTTTCCAATGTTTTCATTATGTTCTAATACTTTGTAATTTATATGTCATTTTATTTTGCAATTTATGTATTCAAATGCAATTATGTATTTTTTAAGAATAAGCATGCAATTATTTATATTAACTTAAATCCGCCTAGGCCCCCGTCTAGCCATCTAGGAAGTAGGCTCCAACCCGCCGTTCAACTAACACCTAGTATCTTTTAAAACCTTGTTCTACAAGTTACCCAACCGGCTCACTAACTCATCAAATCGCGACTCACTAACCGGTTCACTAACTGACGAGTCATTGGCCATGGACCTAATGGTTAAAATAACAGTTAAGTGCAGTGTCTTAATAACGTATAGAGCTTTCTTTACGTGGTCCTACTGGAACTACGACCACTAGAAAAGAAGATTTGAAATAAGACATAAATCTACGGCAAATGTACACCCCATATACCTTCCTGGTCTGCATCCATTTCAGCAAAGGAACCCCTCCATGTTCGAATTCATAAAGTGGTCCACAAAGCTCTGATTAGTGCCCGATACGGCCATGTCCTGCATTTCTGTCTCTTGTTTTTTTGTTTTCTCAAACCCAAACGAGTACATATATCTTTACGGTCATAATTAATTAACGCACACACAAGCACAACAAAAAATGTAGGTTTAAAGGGTGTAACTTTAGACCAACGCAGGGCTGGTCATTGACTTTTTTAGGCTAAGGCAACTCCAAAGAAATATGCCCTAACATAAATTCACATATGTTATAAATAGGCAAAAGTGAGAGAGAGAGAACATTTGCTAGAGATAAAAGTGGAACAAGTGCAATGTATCATACTGTTTATTTTTGTAACAGTATCACACAAAAAATGCAGGCAAAGAGAGGGGGATATTGATATTATTGCTTTCAATCTTGATCTTGTGTGTTGTAATGAGGTTACAACTATACATACATAGAGGTTTTGATCCGACACAACTTTACATACATGAAGAGAATTTTTATCTCCCTGAGACTTTTTGACCTAAGACTTTCAATGGTTGTCACCAAAGTCTATTTTGGTTTGCTTCCTCATACAATCACATGTGTGTCATTCACACTAAATTTCACAACAACATAAAAATAATTTCAGCCCAAGACTATAAGAAAGCACTTTTAGTTATCGAAAGACGATGACACTCTCTAACAAGCAACTAGTTCTTAGTTAATTGTGTTTTTAGGAGACCTAGCCGAAACTCTTGGCTGAAACCGTTTTGGTATTGCTAAGTGAACGTCGCCAGAAACGTTCTCAAACAATAGAACTATGGCCGGTGCGGATAAGTAAGTCGACCTGCCAACGGTAGGATTTTTGTCCCATTTTCCAACATAACTAATAAGATATGGATTGAGATACATGCAAACAACTAATGTGAATACGATTCAAATTCAATAATTTGATTATCATTCAGATATAACTTAGGGTGATCCAATCTTTTGGTCCGTTTACAAGTTTATAAGTGAGCCTTGCCAAAACCCTACCAAGAAGAAGGTCAGAGTACTACTATTTGGGTGGTATAGCTAAGAAAGTAACTATATGGGGGCCAAGGTTGGAGGGTAAATCTGTTGCAACAGGAAGCCCCAGATACAAACATACACAGGTACCAAATTACCGACACGCATGTCACCGTCTTCCAAAGAATCCCTCCCACCTACCATGTTCTATGAATGAGATTGATTGGGCAAGAACAGAATAAACAAATGAAAACACAGGAGAGGGACGGTAAAGGCCCGCCACCATAGATCCCCCAAAAACACAGGACAGGGAATTTCCATTCAAATTTTGGGGGTATTTTTTCTCTCTCTCATTTTTTTCACTGACTCTGACTGCGGCTTGGTTTGGCACATGAAGGCCATGTTACTCTTGCCCCAAAACTCTCCAGTAAAAACAACAATGTAAGGGCCTGATGATGATCGCTGAGATGACATCATTTCCAACTGCTTCAAACGGCTCTCTCTCTCTCTCTCTCTCTCTCTCTCTCTCTCTCTCTCTCGCCAATTCAATTACCCAAAAAGATTACTTCAACCGTAACTGTATATAGTTGGAAGTTGGAATATATATTGTTGATGCACAAAATCAGTGAAGATTTTGGAACAACGTAAAATGTCAAGTTTGTGACCTTCGCTCGGGTGCTCCAGACAGTAAAGAGGATAAATATGTAAAGAGATAGAGATAGGGAAGCAAACACAAGATGTACGTGGTTCACCCTAAGTTTGGCTACGTCCACGGAATATAGGAGTTCTCATTAATAGTGAAGGGTTTATACAAATACATAGGTTCAAGCATAATCATCATTAGTGAGTTCTAATGACTAGTTTAAGTACAATAACGACATTAGAGATTCATTGTAGGATATTGGTCTTCTTTTATAATTGAGGAGAGCCTCCAACTTTTGTCTACGATCGATGTGGGACTCTATGAGCTTTATTCTGACGTTGACGTGTGTCGTGCTGTGATTGGCCTCCTGGTTGGTGGAAAACTCTTGTGCTTCAGCATGGGTGCCTCAGCATGAACCCCTCAGTGGATCTTTGAAGGTATGAAGTTGACCGATGCTTGGTAGTTTTGGGATTGGTCAAGTACGGTACAAACATATATCTTATGAGGTATTGTCTTTTTCCATTGGCTCTCTTAGTTAAAACTTGGTAAGAAAAGGAGGTCATGTTGAACATTAACGAAAAGATCCCAACTATTATTCTTTTATAGGCATGGATAGAGCAAGAGCAACTAAAAGAATAAACAAAAAATGCAGACATCAGACGTTGCCTGGTTGGTTAGAGTAATGTGTTTCTGCCTCTGTACCTAAATTTGAATCATTGCTTGAGTAGTTTTGGAGTAGATTAAAATATTGTTCGAATGGAAAAAATTGAATAAACAAAGGTTTTGACACCTATGTGGGTTGTAAGCAAATGCTTTAACAATGAAGCCTGAAGAGGCGGCATGATGCAGGTGGAAATGTTGCTTTGTGTGTGTGAGAGTTGTCATAGTTAAACAATACTATTTTGTAAAAACACACCCTTAGAGCAACTCCACCCCATTGGGTAGGCCGACTCAAAGCCTAAAAAATAGGCCAGCCTGCACAAAAAATGGTCCAACCGAGCCTAATAGGTTGACACCCAGCCCAAGCCAGTCCATAGGCCGGGCCAAAAAGTGCTGAGCAATGTGCTAGGCTATTTGACGTCATGCTGGCGTCAACATGATGTCACAGCCCCTAAAAAATTTTATTTTATTTTTTTTGCATCAGGCTCGTGGGAGTGGTCACGTGGTTCATTGAGGGCTCACTGTTGCAGTACACTAATTGGTACCAAGTGAGTGGTCACGTGGCTCACTCTAGGCAGTTGGATTTCCAACGGTAAAAAAGTTTTGAAATTCAAATCCAACGGCTAGTGACGTGGCTAGTTTTGGGCCGTTTGATCCCAAGATCAACAGTCCATGATTTTTGTCCAAAAAAAGGAAAAAAAAATGAAAAAAAAAACCAAACGGTCAAAATTATAACCGTTGGCCACGTGTCCACATATGAGCTGTTGGATTTGACTATTTTCAAATCCAACGGTCCAGTTTAATTAACTTAATAAAAATTTATAAAAATTATTAAAAATTGTTTAAAATACAGAAAAGATTTAAAAAAATTATTTATTTTTTCTATAAATACCTAACCATCATCTTCCACCTTACACTACATTTCAATATTTTCAACACTTTCAACCAAAGCTTTCATATACTTTTTTGTGAAAAAAATGGTTACGTGGAAGCTCATCAAAGATGTTATGTTGTGTCAATGTTGGGTTCAAATTACTCATGACCCTTTTACGGGTAATGAGATGGAGTTGCGAGAACACTGGAGATTGGGTCAGGACATTGAGATCATTTTGAGCTCCTAGAACACCAAAAAAAACATGTCAAATCCATGTATCAAATGAAGCCACCGCTTCCAAAATGATAATTTTGGCTCATTTTTTGTTGCCATAAGCTTTTTGCCATGCATTTGGACAATTTTTCTAGGTCCAGTGCATGCAGTTGATGCTTCCAATCATGCTAGGAAAGCCTCGCATCTCACCCTTCTCCAAAAGCCTTTGCAGGTCTCTTGGCGTGGGTTTCCGGAGGTACTCATTGGTGAACAGGGCTTCGATTGTGGAGTAAAACTGCATCAGGGATTCTAGAACAGTTGATTTTCCCATCCTCACTATCTCATCCACTTGATCTGAAGATGCTCCATATGCAAGCATCCGCAAGGCAGCATTAATTTTTTGCTCAAGAAGAAGACCTAGAACATGAAAACCATCATTTTTTTTGCACAAAGTATGGATCATGGTTGCAAATAGCACTCATGATTTTGTCACATAAACTTCGTTGAATTCTGAAACGGCGTCTAAAAATATGATCAGGGAATAAACTGTTGGAGATAAAATAATCTTCCAATAGATCTTTACCTCGTCTTTCCCTCTTTCTATCCCAGTTTGCAGCACGTCTGGGTTTGGATATCTAACCCACAACTTCCGTGGCATGACGGGAATGTGAGGCCCTCTGCCTTCTATGTTCATCATCCTCATTATCTTCCATTGCGAAAGCCTTATCTTTGCCTTCCTCTAGATTGAACAATTCTTCCTGTTATGCCAATAATATTTTCTGTTGCTCATCGATTTCATACAATCTCTTTGAAGAAGACATTGTAAGAACTCAAGATTAAACAATGATGAAGAAAGATTCTAAGCTAAAAAAGAAGGATTGCGTTTGGTGTATGAATTAGGATGGATGTAGGGTTTATATGGACAAAAAAAGAAAGGGTGAGGTTCTGGACATTGCCATGTGGCACTACATGATTGGTTGAAAATCTTATCGAAATTTTGGCTAAATTATTGTAAATAGATAGTGACACGTGGCGTGTCGGAATTTGTTGAAAATCTTATCGGAAATCTATCCACAAAATAGTACGTTCGGATAATGACACGTGGCGCGACAAGATTGGTTGAAAATCTGATCAAAATCTTGGCTAAATTATTGTAAACATATAGTGACACGTGGCGCATCAGATTGGTTGAAAATCTTATCGGAAATCTATCCACAAAATAATATTTTCGGATAATGACACGTGGCGTGACAAGATTGGTTAAAAATCCTATCCGAAATTAAAACTAATTTTTTTTATTATTTTATAAAAAAAATTAATAATATTTTAAATGGGTTGGGTGCCAGCACATTTTGTAGGGGTGGAGATTCATTTAATTGCTCATCCGAGTCAATCACTATTCGTTGCTGGGTGCCAACGTATTTTTTAGGGGTGGAGTTGTTCTTAGTCAAACAGTTCTATTTCATAAAAACGCATCCTGAATATGACATATAGCTAATCCATCAATGAAGTGTTCCCTAAATTTAAGAAAACGAGAATACTTAGGCTATAACCTTACCCTATAAGAAGCCTAGATTCAGCGGGATATATGTAAGTATGAAGAGAATTATTTGTTTGGACCTAACTCGGCTACTTTGACAGGATTTGTGAGGGTGAGAGTAAGGATGGCTCCTCACCTGATATGTTCAAAACAAAGAATGGCAAACGACCATTTAGTTTTCAATTTTCAGTTTTCAAGAACTCGTCCCTGTTTGCGTTGCAAATCCTATGCCCAATCCCCACAGAAAACTTTAAATTGGAAAGAAAATTGATTCAGATGATATCTTAATGCTGAATGCACAAGCCATACCTAAAATCAAACACCTCAAATTTCATACCTACTCTATTCTCTTCATATGTACTTTCAGATAACTAACACCGACAAGTTGAACCATCAATGTTAATTGTCAAAGTAAACCAATATCCTCTCTTTTCTTGACATAAAAGAACATAAAAGATACACCTTTTACGTTCTTCCTTTAAATCGTTTACCGATACATGCCGCATTGCAATAAAGAAGACAACAAATTAACGAGAGAGAGAGAGAGAGAGAGGAAAAAAAAAGGACAGTAAAAAAAAAAAAACTCGCCATAGCTGAGAAAATACATGTAGTCGCTACATTTGTGTGCCACCATGTGCGTCTGCTGCGAGTCATTTGAATGAATCTACCACGGAAACAATTTGAAATTGAAATCTTCATAAATCTGCAGGATAATGTACAGTCACTGGTCGGAGACAGAATTCACTTGTTGATGTTGCCCCTCTAGCAGAGTTATCTCTCTTCGAAATTTAGCAATATGAGCTTGAACCTAACACAAAGACATTTGAAACCAGATGTTAATATAGTTATTTGAGCATTTTCTATCACGATAAGTAATTTTCATATCTCAACTAGAGTAACCAAGCTTATGGTATACATAACTGCCGACTAATGCCAAAACATCAAATATGTTCCAGATCTCAACAACATGTGATTCATCTCAATAGATCCTTGCAAGATTCAGGATTCATAACCTGCTCAATTCTAACTTATGTCAGTTTTCAATGGTTAATAGCAATGAAATCACAGAATTTGATCGTGATGAGTCAATGAACATGAAGACACAGAATAGGTATTTATCACAAACTCTTAGACTGGTTCAGGAATTTCAGAATAACTTAAACAACCACTATAGTTGTCATGGGAATCACTTTTCTTAAAGAAACTTGACTCATCAAAGACCTTCTAACTCAACATGGCGGGGTCGCACTACAAAAAGTAAAAACTTTTGTGGAAGTTTGGCGACCTGTGGGACTTATTAGTCTTTTGATTAGACCAAGGGTTGCAAAAAAAAAAAAAAAAAAGAAAGTGTATTTCCCTACCGTAATTGTCAGTCTGTTTCTTTACCCTCCCTAGTAGTGTACATAAACATAGGACGTTAGCATGATCGAATGGCTAAAGATCTTTGCATATATTTTGTCCTTTTTGGAGACTTTATCAGAATTCATTGGGAGAAGAAAGGTAGTCCTCTCTTAACTTACTTGAGAACCCATTCAATCCATTCAACATATACTTAGGACGTGTTTGGGAAACTAAAGAATTGGTTTAGAGCAGTTCTACATAAAGCCTGATAATTAAAACAACTTAAATCTGAACTAGTTTTGAATGTTATTTTAGGTCTGCCTTGGCTCTAAATTACAATTTTGGTTCACTATTTTCTACATCTTAGCCCACAACAGTTCCACAGACCTGATTATAGTTTCTGAGTACCAAATACTGTTCAATTTAAACACAGCACTACTAAACATGGTTGGGTGGTCTTTAGGGTTTACAGAGCACGCCCTAGGATTCAAATATTGTACCCCTGTATCTCTGGGGATATATTTAAACATCCGTTAGATTAGACATTGTTACACTATTTTGAACACTACAATGACCAGATAGAGAGCAACGGTCTATCGGCTAAATGTTTTCGATTGATGCACAACGATTGCTTACTCAAAATTTTCCTATGAAATCCCTTTACAGCTCTTAGAACCTTAACAAGCCCTATTCATTTTCTCTAAGCATACTGGGCTCATGGGTAAAGGGCAAGTATTGGAGGCTGAAGTTTGGGGTTTTGGGCTTAGGTTAGCCGTTGAAAAGGGCATCTCTCGTCATATTGTAGAAACAGATTCAGTTAGTTTGGTGAATTTGATGCAGCAGGATGGTGTTGACAGGTTTCATCCTCTTGCTTCTCTTTTAGACAGCTACCACAAGATATTGTCTCAATTCCATTTCCAGCAATATAAACTTAAGCATATTTACGGGAGAAGAATGCAATGGCTGATGCTTGCTAATTGGAGCTACAACATTGATCCGGGATTATGCCTCCTTGAAGATCCTCCTGTGTGGGTTACTAAGTATCGGGAAGTTTGTAACTTAATTTAGTTTTGTTTGTTGGGGTGTTTCACCCCACCCCACTTTACCCAAAAAAATAAAAAAAAACCATAGACTGCAAAAGATGGATAGAATTCCGTTCAATACATAAATGAGAAGGGTGAAATACTTCTAATACATTTTTTTTGGAGTTTCAGTGCACAGAGGGTAAGAATTTAGAATCCTGGACACTAATACAACAGCTACAACAATAACCAAGCCTTATCCTACTAAGCAGGGTCGACTGTACGAATCCTAGAGCGCCATTGCCCTCGGGTTTGCACCAATTCAATCCTAGACACTAATATACGCAAAAATTGCAAAAGGATTTTGCACAAAGAAATTAACTGGACAAATACATCAGTACATAATCTAAAAAACCACGTATGGTTTTTCCACGAATACACACATACGACAGCTCTTCACGATCACAAAATTTGAAGTTCCACAAATATATCCAGAAAATATGAGATAAACTAATGCTTACCTGCTGACGAGCTGTTACAAGTCGTAACAGCTCATCTGCTTCTGAAAAGTTCGTGAACCACTGGCATAGGGGATGATCTTTAGTGTCCCCTCTCTTTCTGTTACTTGGATCCTCAACTGGCACTACATGCAATGAAAAGGAATAATTTACCATCCACAACATGATAAAGAGAAATTACAGACAGCACAGCATAACTAATTTATACCAGGAGGAGGCAAAGCAACACCAGCAGGTAGTCTGGGAATGACTACAGCTGGCTGATTCTGCACACGAGCTAAGAATGCATCTGAAGGCTCAGGGAACACTATCTCATCATATGATTCCACAACAACAGGCTTTTTAGTTGACATAGGACCGGACTCATCCGCTGGGTACAACTTCAAATGATGAAATCTGTGAAAAGCTCAAGATCAAATTCTCCTCGCAATGATGGGCACCCGTAGTACCAAATGCATGCTAAAATAAAAAACAGCTTGTTGGTTGTTTCCAATCAAATGTAAAATCAAATTATATCAAAGCATGTAACAAATAATCAAACTCATTGTTTGAAAAATTGATCTCCCAATTAAGCACGCTAGAAGGTTAAGTAAAATATAGTTTCCACATACAAAGCGGGATGTGTCGATGGAAGGTTTCTGTTAACTACTCAGATAGACAATGAACATATTGACGTTGGAAATTAAAAGACAAAGTTGCTTCTCTCCAGCTAGGTTTAACCATATAAATATACTATTCCATTGTTGAGGACTTGGTACAAATGCAAGAAACACAGACAGTATCAAACACAAAACTAGACAGCCAAATGCCAAGTAAATCACATAAATTTAATATTCAAAGCAACTCACAAGTTTAATGGCTTATCACAAACATCACTGTGGAAGAAAAGCGTAATGGCGATTTCAAATTCACCCCAGCCACATTCTGACAATTCAAATGGTGGTGACTCAACCACCCTTGTGGGATTATTGAAACTGGAATGCAGCTGAAAAACAGCACGTTTTATCACCACTCCAAGATCCTCATTGGTTGCCCCACGAACGTACACAGTCCACTTGTGTGATTGGTACCTAATTGCATATCACAAAATTAACTCTGATATTCCAGTCCTCATGTAAGTAATTCAACAAGCCAATAAATCTACCACCATTAAAACAATACTTACTCGTTCGCCTTCTTACCGAGCCAGAATGCAATATTGCCATACACTATCGGAACACTAATCTCAACATCTTTGAGTTTCTTATGAAAAATCTACACAAAGTTACATGAAAAGCAATACAATGAAAAAAAAAAAACTACAATTCAAATTTAAATTCTGGTAATTAGAATGCTGGGCAAAAATTCAAATTTATAAAAAGAACAATTAAAAGATTTTTTTTTTTCTTTCAAAAAGTCCAGTCTCGTGATCCATGACAAGGCACTAAACACATTATACAATGTGAAATCAAATCAATCTCAAAACAGAGTCTTGAAGTTGCGGATCACAACTACTTCCAAAAGCACTTCTGGGTATCTGGGTATCCTTGTTTTGGTAAATTAGGAAGTGGCTAATAGTAAAAATTTGAAATTGAACAAGAAAGTTACCTTCTTTTCACTGTCTTCCGGTTTGCCCATTTTCGTGCGCAGAGATTTAGGCGCAGGCGCGGGCCCACTTATTTCAGGTTGATCTGGACCGTGCATTTTGGAAGAGGAACCATTGTTCATGTCCTTGTGAAAAGCACTTTCTTCTGTGGCGCAATCAAGAAACTAGGGTTTCTTCCCGCGAAGTTGCAGAGTACGGTCTCGAGGCTCCCTGGCTTTTCCAGGAGGGAGTTATCCTATACAACGTGCTTCAAGTTAGTCCGTACTTTCACCCAATGAAGCCGGGCCGTGTGGTGCGTAGTAAGACCATTCCAATTGTGCGGCTAAAAGCTAAAAATATTTAGAGTAATACTCGATTTCTCTCTTAAATTTTCACCTAGTTTTCAATTTTTTTTCTAAACTTTTTTGTTGAAAAATTAAGGGCTCAAACTAATTTTTTAGCCGATCCCTCCGTATCGTTTAGATTTTTATATATTCGATATAAGTTCTTGTTAAATCGAAACATATGCACAACATGTAATGATAATTAAGTAGTTCACTCTTAAAAATAATTGAAAAACTGAAAAATAAAATAAAAACAAAATTTTCCGTCTCTTTCTCTAAATTATTCTTTTTCTTAGAGCATGTTGTGAACACGAAAATTTCCTGAAAGGAAAGAGACAAGAACAACGTGCACAAAATAATATTTGAATTTGATGATTTTGGGTTACAATTTCTCTCAAATTTGATCATCTGATTCGATCTCCGTAAGGTGTTGATTTGTGGATGTGCGATTGATCCAAAGGGCCGTTGGGCTTGATCTGAGGATGAACGTTCTTCAAGGGCTGTGGGCTTGATCTTTGAAGGTGGATTTGAGCGGATCTTCAAGGAGCCGTTGGGGCTTGATCTTGAATTGGTGGATTGTTGATCCAAGGGTCGTCGGGGCTTGATCTTGGAAGAACGATGAACGAAGAACGAAGAACACTTTCTTCAAGGGCCGTCGGGGCTTGATCTTGAATTGGTGGATGATTGTTGATCCAAAGGGCCGTTGGGGCTTGATCTTGGAAGAACGATGAACGAAGAACGAAGAACACTTTCTTCAAGGGCCATCGGGGCTTGATCTTGAATTGGTGGATGATTGTTGATCCAAAGGGCCGTTGGGGCTTGATCTTAGGATGAACGATGAATGAAGAACGAAGAACGAAGAGAGCTTTCTTGATTCTTCGGGAACCTGGCTGCTTGAGAGATTCGGAGTTTCAGAGCTTCAAAGCTTCAAGAATTTTGCCTAATGATTTTGGTTCCTCCTAAATGAATGAAATTGGCTTCTATTTATAGAATTTTCCAAGGCCTAATTTTGAATATAATATGCAGATGAAATAAATCGTTTCTGCCAGGTGTTGACACGTGTCCTATTTGATGACTTTTCCGATTTATTTTGATTTTTCATTTAGTCACACGCTACGTGTAAAATTTATGTGATACATGAGCGTTGAAATTGTAACTATTGGTCAACATTTATTTCACCGAAATTTCGATGTCTACAAATGCCCCCACTTCAAGGCGCATCGTATACATGTGTTTGTCGCGTGTAGGAGATGTGTTTTGAAGTCCCTTAATGTAGATGTCGATCCAATGGCCATTGAGGCTTGATCTTGAATTGGGCTGGAGATTTCTTCAAGGGCCGTTGATGCTTGATCTTGAACTTCGTTTGAAATTTCTTTAAGGGTCGTTGAGGCTTGATCTTGAATTGGGCTGAAAGTTTCTTCAAGGGCCGTTGAGGCTTGTTCTTGAACTTTGTTTGAAATTTCTTCAAGGGTCGTCGAGGCTTGATCTTGAAGGTTGAAATTGGACCACAAGGAGCTTCATGTGGTAGATGATCTTTGGCTTTGGTAGTGGATGAATTGGCACGTATTTGTTTTTGCGCTTGTTGACTTTCCACAGCTTTGATCTTGAACTGGGTTTGATTCAAGGGTGGTGGACACTTGATCTTGAATCGGACTTGTGATTTCTTCCAGGGTCGTCGAGGTTTGATTTTGAATTTGGCTGGAAGCTTCTTCAAGGGCCGTTGAGGCTTGATTCTTGAAGGTTGACTCGAACACATGGCAAGTAGGCATGAGAGGAAAGTGATGACTTGTTGCTTTGTTCAATCTTTCTAATTCACACCTAAGCAGTTTGGTCAACGGTATGATCTTCAAGATTGATGGGCTCTTCTTCCAGTTGGTGACCTGATCTTTAAGGATTTGATTCAAGGGTGGTGAATCGGTACGTGCAGCCCACAACACCTAGCGAGTCGACCCAAGAATTTGAGGGTCAAAACGAGTCCTTCACCCAGAGTGATTGCAACCCTGATGATATGAGATACTTTTGATTTTGAAGAAGTAGCGGATGAATCGGCACGTACTTTGTTGTGCTTGTCTTCACATGCTTCAATGTATCATTTTCCCTTGCCTTATCTGTTCTTCTGGCAGATGTGGTATCTTCTCCGAGTTTGAGTGGAGGTTCCGGCATATTGCTTTCTTTATCCTTGTCTTTGCAGGTAAGAACAAGGAAAAAGGAAAGAACAGGGAGAACGCATGATATGAGATACTCTTGCTTTCTACCCTGGTGATATGAGATAATTTTGCTTTGGTGTCATTTGTTTGCAGAGGTACCCCAAGGAATAAGGAACACTGATTGACTCGAGAGGCTTCGTTGGGAAGGCATTCTCGGAGATGAAGAAAGGTTCTGTATGTCTGCCTTGCTATGGAGGGTGAAGGTGGACAGTTATAGGAAGTTCTTTAATACCTGTAGGGGTACTATTCTTTCACTCGTGTCGGCAACCAATGCGTGATTGATCAGTATGGCTTCACGTGCTTTCTTCTTTATCAGAAATCTTCGACAAATTGTCCGTAATTTCCGCCAAGCTGAGTGTGCATGTGACAGGTGTTGACGAAGCTGAAAAAAATGGCGCCTCTTCGATATCTGGGATCGGCGCTTCGACAAATTGCCCGTGATTTCTGCAAAGCTGAGTTTGTGTGTGACGGGTGCTGACACATCTGGAAAAGCAAGATGCCTCTCCGATTTCTGAGCTTGCCTCTTCGATTTTTGAATTGCCCTCTTCGATTTCTGAGCTTCATCAAGTGCAGAGGTTGCATGTGACAAGTGCGGACAAGTCTGGAAATGAAGATTGGCCCATGGTTTCCGAGCAAGCCCAGCTTTTGAGAAAGCTAGCACCTCTTCGATTTTTTGAATTGGCCTCTTCGAATTCTGAGCTCGCCTCTTCGATCTCTGAAATCCCATCAAGTGCTGATTTTTATAGAGGCACGCAGTTCGTTTCAAAGCACACTTGAATTTCTGCTTGTAGAAACCCCCTTCTTGCACTTCTACGATCTTGACTTGTCTGACCTCTTCTTTCTTTAATACCTTTGAAAATGTCTGGACCCTCTGACCATCGTTTTGACTTGAACCTTGGTGAAGAGGCAGTTCCGCCTTCTCCAAACAACATATGGCGCCTATCCTTCATATCCCCTATTGGTCCTCTTACCGTTAGGGATTCAGTGATGAAGAATGATATGACCGCTGCGATGGTGGCCCGGAACCTCGTCACTCCCAAAGATAACAGACTGCTTTCCAAACGGTCTGATGAGTTGGCTGTTAAGGATTCTCTGGCTCTCAGTGTGCAGTGTGAAGGTTCTGTGTCTAATATGGCCCAACGTTTATTTGCTCGAACCCGTCAAGTTGAATCATTGGCGGCTGAAGTGATGAGTCTCAAACAGGAGATTAGAAGGCTCAGGTATGAGAATAAACAGTTGCACATGCTCGTACATAACTATTACACAAACATGAAGATGAAGATTGACCAGATGCAGGAATCTGATGGTCAGATTTTACTTGATCATAAGAGGTTTGTGGGTTTGTTCCAACAGCATTTGCCTTCGTCTTCTGGGGCTGTACCGCGTAATGAAGCTCCTAATGATCAACCTCCGGCTCACCTTCTTCCTGAAGTTCCGCCAAATGGTGAGGCTTTAAATAGTTAACCTCCGGCGCCTCTTCTTCTTGGAGCTCTGCCGAGTGATGAGGCTTCACACGAGTAACCTTCGTGAAGGCTCCATCCTATTTGCTGTTTTTTTTAATTTTTTTTTTTACCAATGTAAAAATGTACATTTCTGTAAATTTTCAAAGAAATCAATAAATGAGGCTTTTTTTTTCATTCAATATATATATATATTTTCTTTTCTTGCACATGGTGCCAGATGCACCATCTATTTATATATATACATATACATACATATATATATATATATATTATATTATTTATTTATTTTCTTTGCACATGGTGCTTGATGCACCCTTTTTTTTTTCACGTGGTGCCAGCACCACTTTGCTCCACCATCCTTTTTTTTTGTTTTTTTAATATATTTTTTCTGTATAAATTTGGGTGGTGGGTAGAGGAATTTACAGGGAGCGGAGCAAGGAGGCCAAGAAGTTGGTGCTTCGAGCTTCACGACCGGCTAATTGTTTGACGGCGGTCGTTGAAGTTCTTTGCTATCATGGTGATCATAGTGACGAGCTCGAGGGAGGCCAGGCGCTGCGGTGGAGGTAGCAGGAGATGACGGAGAATGAGTCCTGCTTGATGGCGTCGTCGGGGGAAAGGTTGAGGAGCTGGAAAACTTGGGCAGCAGCCATGGTGGAAGAAGACGAATGAGTGCAGTTCGTGGTGCATGCAGGAAATCTCGGCCTTGAAGTAGACGAGGGCACGACGAGAGCAGATCCACCATTTTTTCTCTGAAGGCTTTGCGAAGCTCTGACCGAGAAAAGATCCTCATCAAAATCCCTGTCACCCTTGGCTGGCTGTACAGCTTTATTCACATCTGTTGCAGCTGTCACCTCACCTGTTAACTACCTTGACAGCCTCACTGCTCCGTCGAGCATCCTCGAAGCCATGTCTGCGCGGACAGAAATAGCAGGCGCTGGAGGAGACAAGAAGGTGCTTGGTGGATCTAGACCAAACTCGCTGGAGTTGCAGCGGAGGTACAACGCTGGACGGTGAGCAGGTTCAAGAGCAGCGGAGCTTCAACAATGGAGGGCACGGGTCTAAAGAGAAGACGGTGTTGGGTTTTGGTGAGTTCGCCGGTTTCTTGTGAGTCAAACAGGACCAGAGGTCGAGTTGGGACGCCTGAGCAGGTTCGAAAGCAACGGAACTTCAGCAACGGAGGGCATGGCCATGAAGTTTGGACGGAGAGCACGGAGGCTTTGGGCAAGCTGGAGCTGCTGTTTAGAGGGTGAGGTTGCTCATGTTGCTGCGGGTGTAGGTTG